GGAGCGGACGAATCAGACGATGGAGCAGTTGATTCGTGCCACGTGCGACGACCCCACGACCTGGGAGCAGCAGCTGCCGCTGATCGAGTTCGCGTACAACAACGCCACATCAGCCACGACGCAGCAGTCCCCGTTCTACCTGAACTATGGGCAAAACCCCACAGTGCCCATGACGCCGAGTCCGGACAACCCAACGCCACGTGCACAACAATTCGCCGAAGTCCTGCAAGCTGCCCGCGCCAGAGCCGCCGAAGCAATAAAAAAGGCCAACGTCATCGCTAAGCGCAACGCTGATCGCCACCGCCGCCCTGTCACGTACCAATCTGGAGATTACGTGCTGCTCGACACGCAAAATCTGCGACTGCCCGACGTACCAAAATTACGACCGCGCTACTGTGGACCATTCCAAATCAGTCACATGATCACACCCGTCACCGCGCACCTACTGTTGCCAACCGACTGGTACATCAGCCCTTCGTTCCACGTCAGCCTACTTCGCCCATACATCCCGACCACAAGTCAACTGCCGCGCCACCGGCCACAATCAATGACTCGCCCTGCATCAGAGCCGATCATCGAGCCCGAAAAAATTCTGAGCCATCGGATCCGCCACCCCACGGGAATCAGGAGGATTGAATTCCTCGTTCGCTGGAAAGACCGCACGCCAACTGAAGATAGCTGGGTGCCCCTGAGCAACATCGAAAATCACCCTGCCCTGCAAGTGTACCTGAGGAGCCGGGGACTCCGCGATATACACGCACTCGCGTAGCGGAGGGGGCTTCTTAAGGGGGGGGGTAGTGTAAGGAATTCTCTCGGCATTCCTTACGGAGCCGACTACATCGCGTACAGCAACAGCCGATTGTTCGCCCGTTACTGCTAACGGAACTTCGCCGACTTCGCGCGCACTGTTTTTGCCAAACCTCGCACTGCTGGCATGGCCGTATCGGCCTACGCTTCGGGACTAGCCCGAGCCTCGTTCCAGCGTAGCACTAGCAAGCTCGCACGCACCGCGTTACCGTTTTGCATGTTTCGCGTATAAATGTTCGCTCATGCCTTCGCTCACATTTTGTACTCGTTTGACACCTTAGTGCAATTCTCGCTACTTCGATTCATTGCACCCGTAACATTAACAAACCCCAGAAAACTTTGCAACTCAGGGATATTAGTAGGCGGCTTCCACTTAACGATGGCGCCCACCTTGCGCGGGTCGATTTTAATCCCTTCGCCGGAAACCACATGCCCCAGAAACTCTAATTCCGGCTTCAGGAACTCACACTTAGACCCCTTTGTGATTAGCCAATGCCCCTGTAAACGCCGGAACACCTCCTCTAAATCCCGCAGATGGTCCTCTTTTGTCGCGCTGTACACCAGGATATCGTCCAGGTACACGATGACCTTCTTGTCCAGCATGTCCCGAAAAATTCCATTCATGGTGAGCTGGAACGTCGAGGGCGTGTTTGTCAGGCCGAACGGCATCACTGTGAACTCGTAACTGCCGTAGCGTGTGCGGAAAGCGGTCTTCGGGCAGTCGTCGGCGAATACGCGAATTTGGTGGTAGCCTCCTCGCAGGTCGATTTTCGAAAAATACCGAGCTCCGCGAAGTTGATCCAGCAGATTGTCGGTTTGCGGGATCGGGTAACGCGACTTTATCGTGACCCGATTCAGCGCCCGATAATCGATGCACATGCGTAGGCCACCGTCCTTCTTCGGCGTGAACAGTATTGGTGCTGCATACGGCGACGTGCTGGGCCGGATAAATCCTTTGGCGAGTAGGTAATCCAGCTGGGCCCGCAACTCGGCGAGTTCTGGTTGACTGAGCCGCCACTGTGTCCGCACAGTCGCTTGCGCGCCAGGCTCCAGCTGGATCCGATGATCCTCAGGTCGTTGGGGGGGCAAACCATTCGGGAGGTCATCCGCGAAAATTTCGGGATACTTCCGAATAATGCTCGCCAGTTCCTCGGGGATTGCCGCGCAGAGGGTGTCGATGTCCGCGATTTTTTCGGAAGTTGCCACTTCGTACAGGTGCACTAAGAAGGCCTGAGCTCCGCTGTTCATCGCACGTTGCATGTTGATCGCGTTGACACGTGTCGTCACCGGCTCCGGCTCCGTCCATTTCGGAAGCGTCGTCTTCCCTCCATATCCTCGCACGACGCACGCCCCAGTCGTCCAGTCGATCGTCGGATTGAAGCGTTGTAGCCAATCCCTCCCCAGCAGCACATCGCAGCCGTCCAACGTCGTCGCCAACATTCTCATGCCAAACCCGAATTTGTCGCCGCACTGTATCTGAATTTTTCGCGCCTCATCTCGGATGGCCAGCGGTGTTCCGTCCACCAACCTTGCATCGATCTCTGGTAGACACCTGATAAGCTTCACCCCCATTTTTTTGGCCGTTGCCAGGTTGACGAGACTGTGGCTCGCCCCACCGTCAACGAAGAGTTTAATTTTATAATCGTTAACCCTCCCTACCACCAACACAGGGTAGTCCACGTGTTCACCCACGTTATTCGTCCGGTTCTGGCCGATAGCGCTGATCGGTACCACGACCCGGTGTGGATGGTGATTGTCGGGCGACAGGGTCTCGTCAGTAGGTGGCCCGTCTGCTACTGACTCGTATCTTTTCCCGACCCTTCTCCGTCGTTCTTCTTCCCCTGCTTAAGCCTCGGGCAGTCTTTTTTCAGGTGGCCCAGCTGGTTGCATAAAAAGCACGGCCCAAGGGCTCGGCTAGGTGCATCCACGCCGTTGATCGTGGGCTGCTGAGTCTGTCCACGAAATCGAGGGCCCTCCCGGGAGCTCGATCTCGCCCACTGCATCAGCGCATCCGTTGACTCAGCTTCCCGGACGACATCGTTGAAGCTGCGTGGTCGGGTTCGTCGGACCTCGTACTGTATCTCGTATTTCAGGCCCGCCACGTAGCGATCCAACCGCTCTGCGTCGCTCATGTCGTCCACTTGGTCCGCCAAGTTGCAGAATTTGCTGGTGTAGTCTTGGACTGAAGTCAGCTGCTTCCAGGTACGCAGCTGCATGCGAGCAGAGTCCGAGGCGGATATGTGCTCGAATCTGGTTCGCAAGGCGGCGCCCCACTCCTTCCATGTGCGTATCGTGGCCGTCCCGAAAATCGGTGTTGCCTGATGCGTGACAGGTGTTGAAGTCCCGTCGTTCGCACGTGCTATTCCTGCCGAAGTCCCTTCGTGTTGCAGCGTTCGCCTCCACCACTCCAGCGCAGGTCCTCGTAGCAGTGAAACTGCGAAATTAATGCGGGTGGCGTCGTCATAAATCATAGCAGCATTAAAGAACACCTCCACACCGAACAACCACGCAGAAACAGTGACAAACTTATCACTCGGGTTAAACGGGGGCGGGTTCGTCGGCTTGATATTCACAAAAGTCGTTGCTGCCATCGGGGCCGTTGGCGTTGCTGCTGGCGTCGCCATCGTCGTCGCTACTGCACGTGGTGGTACTGCACGCGACTGTTGTGGCGACTGTTCCTGCTGCGCCTGCCTCACTTCGTCCGCATCCATCTCGCCTTCCAGCTCGCTCCAGACCCGCTCATCTGGTGTAGTGCTGCTACTTGCGTCGTCCACGACAGGCGACTCCTGGCGCGCTTCACCACGCGGTTGGTGTAGTTCAGCGTTTTCCTTCCGTAGACGCTCCATCTCTGCAGTCATACCTTGCAAATTGGCCTGCATCGCACGGAACTGTTGCATGAACTCGTTGAACTCGGCCTGCTCCATGTGCCTCAGGCTTCGTCGAACGAGCAGGGGGTGGTTCGCGATTTTTCTGACTTCGGTGAAGGCGTTAAAGCTATCGTAGTCGGAGTGGAATAATCAGATCTATTCCACGGGCCGACCGCTTAACAGCCCACCAAGTCTATCGCTCCCCTTCTACAAACTACCCCGGAAACGCAAGGGTGACCTAGGACTTTAGGCTCTGATACCAAGTGTTATAAGTTGTGAAAGGAAAGAGTGCGCAGAACTCAATAATGCGGAAGTGATTACAACGTCTGCATGAACAACGGGGCCTAGGCATAATATAGCAAGGTTAGCTAGGCCGAGGTCGCGGGGTCGCGAGATGGTTGGGTGTAGGTTCGGGGTTGGAAACCCGAAAACGACGCGGTGGTGGCTCGGAAGGCGAGGTCGGCGGGCCGAGCCTGGTTTTCCGAAAGTCGGAGTTGTACGCGTACAGTGTGACCCAGTAAGGAATCCGGAAAATTCCTTACAATTCTAGAGTATTTCCACAATTTCGAGCCGTAACACGTATCTAGAATCGTCGGTCACGTTTCTCGCTTCCGAGTGGCCGCCGTGAGGGGCCCAAGGTCACCAAGTGACAAGTCAGGTTGAACTTCTGATGCTCCAGCTCCCACACGCCATTGGTTGAATAGAAAAGGCGGACAGCCCCCCCAACGAAGGCTCGCGCCCAGCCGCAACAACCCCAACCACTTGGGTTTCCGCCTAAGCGCCTTCTCCTTGCTCTTTTCCGTACAACTGGTGAACTTTCCGCAAAGGTTGCGCTCCGCTCACGACCGATGCGCGCTACACCCTGTACCTAGCGCCCTGCGCTTTGCGCCCCCTCGATCAGCTCGAGTTCAGCCCCCACCGACTGCGCCCGCGACCCCATCAGAAAAAGAACCTCGAGACGAGACCAGTTTGGCCCAAATCGGGCTCAGAGGTTTCCAGTACGTCCTGAAACGTTTCGGCTCGGTTCAATCCATCAAGGTGGGTGGTGTTCGTTCCTGTCCCATCACTTGCGTTGATTGATTTGACCGTTGAGCGTCGCAGCTGGGTTTCTTTCTTCAAGCTCAAGAATAGCCGCAATTCCCTCAGCACTGCTCACTTCCCTAGGTTACGCTTTTGATAATGAGTGTGGCCATCGCCAACAGCCGCTCGGGCCCATCACCTCAGGTCATTTCGAGCCGTAGGTGGAAGGATTACTGTCCGGACTTTTTTGCGAAAGGGGTTGAGGATAGCGATAGAATTGACCGCGCGGCCGTTTTGAGGGTACACATGGACACGCTAACAGATGACTTGGCAGTAGTGAAGGTTGCAGAGTTTCAGTCTGTAGGATCTACAGGCTACCCGCTGCATGACGTGGATGAGGACGATTTAGAGGACTTTGACACGTCAGTGTCGTCAAGCGACTCGGCCGAGTCGTCTCCCCGGCCTTCCTGGAAAATTGCAGCAGCTATGGATCCACATCAGCTTGACTGGGTACACCTCGCGAGCCGCTTAAAGTCGTCTGCTCTTGGCGTGCGCCACCAGAATAACACCTCAGAAGGTTGTTTCCAGACGATCGCGGGCTCCTCGCTGGAGGACGAGGAGCGCGTCGCTGACGGGTGCTCGGGCGACAAAAGTATAGAGCGGTCCGAGGATTGGAGCGACGGTTCGATTGCCACAGGAGGAGGCGATTACGAGCGGGATGATTCTTCTAGTGGACGGGAGAGTGAGAGGTTTCAGGAACGGTGCGAGGCGGTGACGGCGAACGTGCGGGAAGTGGTTACACGCGAGCAGGCGGGGAAGGATTGGCGGTCGGAGCAATCGTGGGACGCGAGTAGCGTGGGGTTGTGGGACGAGCGCGGCGACGGCGAGTCGGACGCGGCGGAGTCGGTACGGAGCATCTTCAGCTGGCCGGTCGTTTCGAGCTCCGAAAGCGAGGCGGAAGGCACGGAGATGGTCGACATGGCGCGGGCGGTGCGGGTGGCGGAGATGGTGGGGAAGGCGGAGACGGCGGAAACGGCGGAGTCGGCGGAGACTTCAGAGACGACGGAGATTCCGGAGACGGCGGAGATTCCGGAGACGGCGGAGATGACGGAGACGGCAGAGGCGGCGGAGATGGCGGGGACGGTGGGGATTGTCAAGATTGACAGCGAGTTACAAGTGCGTGTAGTTAAGGGGCTTAGGCGGGAAGAGGAGCGGTGCGGACTGGAGCTGCTAGGCGCCGTGGTTGCGAGGAGTAATTTAGAGCCGTTTCGAAATAAACTGTTAGGTGGCGTAGTAGCGAGGAGGAGTAAGAGGCGGAAGAGGCGCGCAGCGGTGAGTGCGGCGCGCATAGCGGGAATTGAAGACGACAGTAGCGAGTCCGAAGCGGAGGGGATTGAAGGGCGGGAGATGCAAGTGTTCCGCGTAGCGGTTGTACCGCCGGAAGATGAGGGCGCGCACGGCGGAATTAAGGGGGCAGTGAGTCGGGGCGGGGCTTGCTCGAATCAGACCAATAGGCTTCGGGACGGAGTTAGCGAAACGGTTGGGATGCTGGGTGGAAGCGTGGAGGAGGAACCGGCGATGTGCCTTGCGCGAGCGGCAGCAGGTATCGCGGCGCTGGGAGGCGAGAAAGCGGGTTTGGCGGAAGAGTGTCTTCCCGCTGACGCTGCCAGCAGCCCCTGTCGCGTCGCGGCTAGAGATCCTCCTCCTCCCACGGGTTCGCGCTGCGACGGTGGGCCCGATATAAGCACGAGCCGGGCAGTGCTGCCGCGCGGGGAAGGGGACAGCGGGCCAGCGCGCAAAGAGGCTGGCGCACGCGAGTCCGCGGTGCGCGGAGCTCTGAGAGGGGCTTTCGAGGCGGTGCTGCCGGGCATGCGCGCGGTCACCTCCGCCCTCCAATCCGCCGTGGTGAGCCCTTCACGTAGTCCGGTTCGTCGGTTATTTCCTTTCGTCACTCCCCTTTTTCCATTAAGCGCACCGTCTCTTTGCCTTATGCGCGTTCCTTTTCTTCATTGCGTTGCTGAGATGTAAATTATATGGCGCCGTTTGTCCTCCCCGTGCCTCCCGCCGCAGTCCACGGTCGGGGAGATCTGCTACCAGGAGCTTCAAAGCGCGTCCGCCGCGCCGCCGGACCGCGCGCAGCTGCTCGCCGCGCTGGCGCGGGCGCAGGGGCTGGCGGAGGGGCAGCAGTGTCTGGCGCCGTGGGACCCGGACGCGGTGGTCGCGGTGCCCCTCGGGACTGCCGCGCAGGTAAAATCCGCGCTGCAGGCCTCGCGGGAGCTGCTGCGCGCGGAAGAGCTCGCGCTTCCGGGGGAGAAGGGGGAGACGGGGAAAGACGCGGAGGCGGAAATGCAGGCGGATGGGGAAGACGCTTGTCGAGGGGAGGACGGGCAGGAGGGAATGGGGGAAGTGAGCGGGGGCGGCGGAAGCGGAGTAAGCGAGGAAAGCGGGGGAAGCGGGGGGAGCGGAGGAAGCGGGGGAACCGGGGGAGGCGGCGGAAGCGGGGGAAGCGGCGCGCTGCCCATGGTGCTGGTGCGCACGCTGCAAGCCCTGGACGTGTTCGAGGACGTGCCCCTGCGGGACGATGAGGAGGGCGCGGGGGGCGGAGGCGGGGGCGCGCGGGTGTTCGTCCCCATGCGCCAGCTGGCGGCGGGGCTGGCGACCGTGGGGGGAAACCTAGGCGGAAGCATGGGGGGGAATCTGGGGGCCATGGGGAGAGTGGGGAGCGGAAATGGCCGGGGGAGCGTGAGGGGGAGTGATGGGGAGGGGGAGGGGCAGGATGGGGTGGTGGGGGCGGGGCATGGGCGTGGGGAAGCAGCAAATGGGTATGAGGCGATGGGGTATGGGGGGGGTGCGTTTTTGGATGACTTGAGGTATGCTGGTGGGGGAGTTTATGGCGATGGAGAGTGCATGGGTGGTGAGATCATTGAAGGTACAGGCCGCTTTGATGCTGTGGGGTGCGTAGAAGAGTGTGGGTGCATGGAGGAGTGTGGATACGTGGAGGAGAGCGAAGCAAGTGGGCAGGAGGATACAGGCTATGGGGAAAATGACTCGGTCAGTGGCGAGCGCGTTGGGAGGATCAGGAGGAGCAGGGAGAGAAGCGGGCGGCTGAGGGGGGATGGAATGACGATGGTAGAGAATGACAGGGCGATGGAGGGGGAAGAGGAGGAGGAGGACGGTGAGGGGACGCAGGTGGGGAAGCATGGGGGTGGTGAGGGTGAGGATGAGGGAGAGGAGGATGAGCTGTGGAAGCTGCGTGCCTCCCTGCACCGGGCGTCACAGCGAGCGCTGCTCTCCCCACACGCCATGCTGTGCCCCCGCCACCACACTCGCATGCTCTCTGCTCCGCACTTGCACTCCTCCCCCCACTTGCATCCTTCCCCCCACTTACACCCCTCCCTTCCTCGTATCGATCCCTCTTCCGATGCTGCCCTCTTCCGCTCACACACGGACTGGCCGCGCTACCGCACCCCCTCCGCCCTCTCCGCGCCTTCCCCCACCCGCGAGGGGGGAGAGAGTGCTGCTGCCACGGCCGCCGCCGCAGCAGCTGCGTGGTGGCGGGAGGAGTGGGAGGGGAGTGGGAGGCGGGAGGGAGTGGACAGGGGCGAGTGTGAGGGGAGTGGAGGGCGGGAGGTGGAGGGGAGGGGCGCGTGGGAAGGGAGTGGAGGGCAGGAGGTAGGGGGTAGGGGCGAGTGGGAGGGGAGTGGGACGGGGGAGGCAGGGGGAAGCGGCGAGTGGGAGGGGTGGGAGAGGAGTGCGAGCTTTCCTCTTTCGGGCTGGGACCGGGGCCAGTGGAGGGATGATTCGTGGGGGCAGAATGTGATTGGCACTCATGTGAGTGTTGAGAGGGGAAGAGCAGTGGTGTGCAGTGGTGGTGGTGCGGCGGGCGAGGGGCATTGCAGAGTGCTGGGAAAGGGCCAGTTGAGCAATGGTGATGGTAGTGAGATGGGGGGGGTGCTGGGGCGTGGGGGTGCAGTGCGGAAGCAGATGGGTAAGACGAGACGGAGAACGGTGGAGAAGAGTGCAGAGCGGCGAGTAAAGGAGGAAGTGTTAGGGAGGGAAATGAAGGAGAGGAGGCAGGGAGTGGAAGCGCGGAAGGAAGGAGAAGATATAGAAGTGGTTGATCCGAGTGTGGCGGAGGCAGGGAGGATGCAGAGGGTGCACAGGAGAAAGGGGAAGAAGGTATTGAAAGGGGCGGAGAAGGGAGATGGGAGCAAGGAAGGTGCTTCTTTGGAGAAGCAGAAGAAGAGTGTGAGAAAGGTTGGTTCCACAGGCAGTGGAGAGGTGGAGGTGGGGATGGGGGTGGGGATGGAAGGGGACCCAGTGGTCCAGATACCTGTGAAGGGCAAGGTGAGGCGAAGGGGGCAGGAGGGTGTGGGCGGATGTAGCAGTGTGGCAGGTGCGGGCGGGGAGGTGGGGGTGGGGATGGAAGGGTGTGGACCAGGGGTTAAGGTACCTGTGAGGGCTAAGGCGAGGAGAAAAAAGGGAGAAGGTGGGAGCAGATGTAACAGTGTGGCAAGTTCAATGGCTGTGGGGGGAGGGCTGGTGCCGGGTAGGCATGGGAAGGGGAGTGGGCAGGGGAAGGTGAGTGGGAAGGGGAGTGAGCAGGAGAAGGGGAGTGCACAGGGGAACGAGAATGCAGAGGGGAGGAAGGGGAGAGGGCAGTGGGGGGAGGGGATGGGACATGGGGGTGTGGAGAGCGGTGCAGTCAAGAAGGGGTCAGAGAGGGTGGTCGATGGGAAGGTGGTGGCAGCAACGGGTGCTCCAGACAAGACAAGTGGGGCTGGTGGTAGCAGTGGTGGGGGTAATGGAGGTGGCGGCCCTGCTGCTGCTGCTGGTGGTGGTAACCGTGCAGGTGGGTTCATCCCACACCGAGCCTGCAAGCCAGGCAGGAGCAGCACGGCGCTCACTGCTCTGCGCACAGGCGGTGACGTTCTCGGGTCGTTCGCGCTTGCATCCTTGTCTGCATCCTCAGCAGCAGGCGAGCCAAAGGAGTGCTGGGTGGAATCAGCAGCAGGGGGGCTAAAAAAGGGCCGTCTGGATGAAACACGAGGCCAGCAGCCGAATCAGCTTGTTATTCCACCATCTTCCCTCGCCTCCACCCATGTCTCACTCCCTGACGCCTCTCCTTCTGTCTCAGTGCTCCGCTCTTTCTTTGAGTCGGCTCAAAACCCCGCCCTCTTTCGCCCCACCTCCACCTCCCTCTCACTCCCCAAGGCCTCTCCCTCTGTCTCGGTACCCAGCTGTGCCACTTGGGCTGCTGGGATGGCTGCGGCCCCTTGGGAACCCAAGCCTGCTGCTCTTTGCTTCACCCCTTCACCAGCTAACCCCCCACTCTTTCTCCCCACCTCCACCTCACTCCCCAAGGCACCTCCCTCCGTTTCGGTACCCAGCTCTGCCACTTGTGCCGCGGGGATGGCTGCTGCCCCTCAGCAATTCAAGCCTGCTGCTCCCTGCATCACCGCTGCACCATGTGCTTCATTCCCCAAAGCATCTCCCTCCTTGTCGGTACTCAGCTCTGCCACTTCTGCCGCGGGAATGACTGCTGCCTCTCGGCAATCCAAGCCTGCTGCTCCCTGCGTCACCCCTGCACCAGCTGCCCTCCATGCAGTGACCCGGTGTGAGGTGGAGTGGGGTGTGAGTGTGGGTGCTGTGGGGTTGGAGGAGGGTGACGTTGCTTCTGGCTCGTCGTGGCAGATGGGGCCGGAATGGGGTGATGGCACTCCTGCTGGACCATGCAGTGGTTGCAGCACTAGTGGCTGTGGTGGCAGCACCAAGGCCAGCAGCAGCAGCAGCAGAGTCAGCAGCAACAGAGTCAGCAGCAGCAGAGTCAGCAGCAACAGAGTCAGCAGCAGCAGCATCGGCCATGTGCCCGACTCTACTCACTTCTCTCTGCCATCATTGCTCTCACATGCCTGGGCGGTTGTGCATGCTGCCACCACGCGTGTCTGCGCCATGCTCGCCCATCTCTCACGCCACATGCCATGGGGGTAGCTAGCTGCTCTGTGGATTGCATAACCCATGAAACTGACCATGACCACTGACATGACACTGTGAGAGAGACCAACACCACATGACATTACCAGCAGCAGCACCAACAGCGTCAGAAGCGGTATCGGCCATGTGCCACGCTTTGCCCGCTTCCCTCTGCCATATGTGCTCTCACACGCCTGGGCGGCCATGCAAACTGCCACCACACATGTCTGTGCCATGCTCGCCCATCTCTCACACTACATGCCATGGGGCTAGGTGTGTTGTGGATTGCACAACCCATGGGATTGACCACTGACAATGACATGACACTGTGAGTGACCAACACCACATGACAACAGCACCAACAGCGTCAGAAGCGGTATCGGCCATGTGCCACGCTTTGCCCGCTTCCCTCTGCCAGCAGTGCTCTCACACGCCTGGGCGGCCGTGCATGCTGCCACGACGCATGTCTGCGCCCTGCTCGCCCATCTCTCACACCACATGCCACGGAGCTAGCTGCGCTGTGAATTGCACATTCCATGGGACTGACCACTGACAAGGACATGACACAGTGAGACCAACATCACATGACATTACCAGCAGCAGCAGCAGCAGCAGCAGCAGCGGCGGCAGCGGCGGCGGCGGCGGCGGCGGCGGCGGCAGCAGCAGCATTCGGCACTTGCCAAGCTACACACGCTTCTCTGACAACGGTGCTCTCACACGCCAGGGTGGCCATGCATGCTGCCACCACACATGCCCGTGGTTTGCTTGCCCACATCTCGCGCTCCTTGCTCCGTCATGCCTGCAGTGTTGTGCTGCACATTCCGTGCACGTAGCTGCTGTGGTGTGCGTTGTTCAGATGTCTCAAAAGCACATGCCGTTGGGGTAGCTGCTGTCAATCGCTCTCCATGAGACTGACCACTGAAATGACGCTCAGAGACCAGGACCACTTGACATTACATGAGATGTAACAGATTATGTGCTTGTCTCCTTTTTGCGTTTATGTATGCAGAACATTCCGGGTGCTTTGAACACACCGGTAATTTTTATCATGTGTTTGTTTTCTCAAGTTGTAATCTATGCATTTCCGTGATTCTAACATGACTAATTTACAATTCCAGCAGACAAGTCGAGCAAAACTCGGTGACGAAGCACAACGTTGCGTTCAGGTCGGGGAGCTGCCACCGCATAGCTTACCTCCACGAGGCGCGCTGTTCTGCGAGAGCAGCCAGCGGCGCTGCGTCCAAGCATACTTGTTATTTGAACGGCTGGTATTATTGTGTAAATTGAGTTCACATGTTTTCTCGAATGCCACGTTTGAAGCGTACATCTCCCCCAGCAAGAAGCCGACCGAAACGCGTACAATAGTGCAGCACACTGCTCGGGAATTCCGAAGGGCTCACCTCGCCTGTATCGCGCACCCTCCCTTACCGCACCTTGCGCACCCATCCATCACCGCGGCAACCCTACGTCCCTGCATGTACCCGCAGCCGCATGTCCCTAGTTTGCCTCCACCTGCGAGCATCCAGCGCCGCGGCGCAGCGACGGTCTCCATGCGCGCTCGCACGAGGCTGCGCCACGCGGGCGATATGAACGACGCGACGCTCGGCATGATGAACCGCGACGCCGCGCGCTTCACCTGCAGCCCTCCTCCTCTCGGCTCCTCTCCTCCCTTCTCCTGTTTCTCCTCACGCATCTATTTGCCCAGTGGTTAATTCTTCCTTCGCCATACCTCGCTGCTCTCTCTCTCCGTCCGTCTCCGTCTCTCGCACGCGCTGCTCTGCTCTTCTCTCAGCCGTTCGTCTGTAAGCTCTGCTCCTTCACTCGCCCGTGAACGTACTAGTCGGCAGCCATGGCGTGGCGCGTGATCGCGTGCGTCGCCGTCGTGTGCGCGCTGCTGTCGCTCGGCGCGCACGCGTCCGAGGCGGAGTTCCTGCCGCCCGCGCCGGAAGATGTGATTAAAACGGAGGGCGGCTCGCTGTCCGTGTGGAGCCGCGAGTTCGAGTTCTTCAAGGTGCGCCCCGCCGTGATTTGCTTGTCAGTACTACCGACGTGTTGTTCGTTGTTTCGCTAATTCGTTAGTTCGTAGTCTCGCAATCCTGCTCAGCGGGATAATCCGCTGTCGCACTGTCCCGCTGTGCTCCCGGCTCTCTCCCTCCCGCCAACATGAATGCAGCGCGAATGGAGGTGGCGGCCTTTTCTCTCGCCCTCCCCGGTACAACGACGCCCCGCAGCTCTCCTTCATCACGCACGGCTGTGCCTTGACGCCTGCTGCCTCTCCCTCTCCCCTCTCCCTCGCTCCCGCAGGATGCCAACATGAATGCAGCGCGAATGGAGGTGGCGGCCTTTTCTCTCGCCCTGCCGGAATACAACGACGCCCCGCAGCTCTCCTTCATCACGCACGGATGCGCCTTCATGGGCCTGCTCTCGCCCATGGGCGTCCCCGCCCCGATCAGGTGCGCAAGTGCACTGCAGGTAGCCGCAAGCCCAGTGTGTGTGCAGTGCAGTGCACGCACCGTGTGTTGTCTGCTTCTGCTGCTTGGCCCTGAGGCAGCAATGACGCCCCGCAGTTCTCCTGCATCACGCACGGCTGTGCCTTCATGGGTTTGCTCTCGCCCATGGGCGTTCCTGCTCGTCTTGAGGCGAATATATTCCCGCTTTTTCTCCCTGGCACCACCATCTTCCCCACTGCTGCCTGCCTGCGCGCAGATACGTGCAGGAGGGTGACATAGTGGCCATCCCACGCGGCTGGGCGACCTGGGCGTGGAACCATGGGTCGGAGCCGCTCAGGGCGCTGCTAGTGTCCGTCCGACATGCATTGACTCTCTTATTCACCTTTCCCCGGTGGTGCATGCATGTAGATACGTGCAGGAGGGCGACATAGTGGCAATCCCGCGCGGCTGGGCGAGCTGGGCGTGGAACAACGGATCAGAGCCGCTCAGAGCGCTGCTGCTGTCCGCCTGACACGCCTTGACTCCCGCTATACCCTCCTCTCTCCTTCCCCGCTGCTGCATGCATGCAGATACGTGCAAGAAGGCGATATAGTGGCAATCCCGCGCGGGTGGGCGAGCTGGGCGTGGAACAACGGATCAGAGCCGCTCAGAGCGCTGCTGCTGTCCGCCTGACACGCCTTGACTCCCGCTATACCCTCCTCTCTCCTTCCCCGCTGCTGCATGCATGCAGATACGTGCAAGAAGGCGATATAGTGGCAATCCCGCGCGGGTGGGCGAGCTGGGCGTGGAACAACGGATCAGAGCCGCTCAGAGCGCTGCTGCTGTCCGCCTGACACGCCTTGACTCCCGCTATACCCTCCTCTCTCCTTCCCCGCTGCTGCATGCATGCAGATACGTGCAAGAAGGCGATATAGTGGCAATCCCGCGCGGGTGGGCGAGCTGGGCGTGGAACAACGGGTCGGAGCCCCTCAGGGCGCTGCTGCTGTCCGACACGCGCTCTGCCGCGCAGGCGGGCGAGGTGCACGCGTTCACTCTCATGGGCGGCCCGCATGAGACACTGGGGGGTGTGCTGCATGGGTTCAGGTGAGCACCAACCAGTTCACGGCTTTAGGTAGCCCCTCAGGGCGCTGCTGCTGTCCGACTCACCCTCTGCTGCGCAGGCAGGGGAGGTGCACGCGTTCACGCTCATGGGCGGCCCGCATGAGGCGCTGGGCGGCGTGCTTCATGGGTTCAGGTGAGTATTAGAGGCATGGGTTCAGGTAAGCACCACGCGCTGCTGCTGCCGGACTCACGCTCTGCTGGGGAGCCGGGCGAGGTCCACGCGTTCACTCTCATGGGCGGGTCGCATGAGACTCTGGAGTGTGTGCGGCATGGGTTTAGGTGGGTAGTAGAGTGCACGGGCTCAGGTGAGTAGTAGAGTGCACACGTTCAGGTGAGCCCCTCAGGGCGCTGCTGCTGTCCGACACGCGCTCTGCTGCGCAGACGAGCGAGGTGCACGCGTTAACTCTTATGGGCGGCCCATATGAGTGGCTGGGCGGCGTGCTGCACAGTTTCAGGTGGGCGTTACACTGCACGGTTTCAGGTGGGAGTTACACTGCACGGTTTCAGGTGGGCGTTACACTGCACGGTTTCAGGTGGGAGTTACACTGCACGGTTTCAGGTGGGCGTTACACTGCACGGTTTCAGGTGGGCGTTACACTGCACGGTTTCAGGTGGGCGTTACAATGCACGGTTTCAGGTGGGCGGCACAGCACGTAGTAAGAGCTTGTTGCTGTATTTGCAAATCTTGCCCTACGTCCTTGATCGCCTCTCTCCTGGCTTGCTCTCACTCTTTTGAGTCGACTCAAAAGCTTGCTCTCACTCTTCCCCTGCTCTCTCTCCTCTTCCCCTCGCGCCTCCCCTCGCGCCCCCCTTTGCGCGCCCGTCTCTCGCCGCCCCCCTTTCATCCCTCGCAGTGCCGATCTGCTAGCAAGGGCGTGGGACGTGGAGGAGGAGGAGGCAAAGCGACTGGTGGCAGGGCAGAAGCACGTGGGCTTCATTGCCATCGGTCATGTGAGTCAACTCAAGTGTGTTTTGGTCTTTTGTGGGGTGTGGCGCTGCTGGGTTATGGGAGTGTTACAGGATGGAATGTGGAACGCATGGTGCAGGGCGCTGCGTGCAGTGTGCAGCAGCAAGGAGGCTCCATGGTTCGCCCTCTCACTGTCATGACTTTTGAGGCGCCTCAAAAGTCGTCTCCGGGTGACTCCATGGTTCGCCCTCTCACTGTCATGGCGTCCTGTCCTCTGCCCCTCCCATGGCAGCACAACGCACCACGCCTGACCGCAGAGGTGTACGCGATGGTGGAAGGGAGCGAGGAGGCGTACGGTGCAGAGGGGGAGGTGATGAATGCTGTTGACAGCATCATCATGGAGGGCAGCAATGGCGTGAAGCACATGTGCATGGGCGACATCTCCCCCTTCACGCGCTTCAAGTGCAGCCTGGCCTGCTCGACGCCTGACGTGTCATTCTGTCCTTTCCCTCCCCTCCTCCCTCCCCCCCTCCCCCCCCCCCCCCCCCCCCCCCCCGAACAACAATCGCAGCACAACGCCCCGCAGCTGACAGCGCAGGTGCAGGTCATGCTGGAAGAGAGCGATCAGACGTACGGTGAGGAAGAGGAGATCGTCCACAGCATCAGCATGGAGGGCAGCAACAGCGTGAAGCACATGCGCATGGGCGACATCTCCCCCTTCACGCGCTTCAAGTACAGCCTGGCCCACGCCACACCGGATGTGTCGGTGCCCAAGGGAGGAGATATCTTCGTGGTGGATCGCTCCAAGCTGCCCGTGCTGCACCACATCGGCCTCTCCGCCTTCCTGTATCACCTGCAGGTGCGCTCCCTTCTTCCTCTGCTCCTCTCCTCTCTGAATAATTGTTCCTGTGGTATACTGTATTGTCCTTCCATGCTCTCTGCCCCATCCCTCCAACCCCCCAGCCCAGTGCACTCCTCGCCCCCCATTGGTACTTCAATGCGGCCATCCTGCACGTGGTGCAGGCGGGCAGTGGCCGCATCGAGGTGGTGTATCCTGACGGCTAATGAGACGCATCATGCTTGCTTCTACTCGCCTGCTCCCCTGCTGTTCTGCCCCATCCCTGCCTCCGCTCCAGCCCAGCGCACTCCTCGCCCCCCACTGGTATCCCAACGCCGCCATCCTGCATGTGGTGCTGGCGGGCAGTGGCCGCATCGAGGTGGTGTATCCTGATGGCCGCACCGCTCTGCACCATGACGTTCACACCGGGGATGTCATTGCTGTTCCTGCACTCTTCCCTTCTTCCATGGTACGTCCACTTTGCCTTCGCACTCTTCACCGCTCTGCACCGTGACGTTCCCACCGGGGCTGTGCTTGCGCAGCGCGCTCTCGTCCCCTCCTCCATGGTACGTCCCCTCTCCCCACTCTCTCTTCTCCCCTCGTCCTTCCCATTCATTGTCATTCATTTGCTCCCTTTATTCTTTGGTCTATTCAACCTCCTCCCTACACCCTCCCCCTTTCCCTTGTCTCATAAACCACACACAGGCGTCAGAGGAGGGTATGATGTGGATCGCCATAGCCAACCGCCCGCTCTCCCCGCCATCTTTCCTAGCAGGGGGCACATCGGTGTTCAAGGCTTCTTAAGCAAGTGCTCGTGGCCCCTATTCCTACACCCTCCCCCCTCCCCACGTACCCTCACCAGGAGGCGTCAGAGGAGGGAATGATGGGGATCGCCATTGCCAACCGCCCCCTCTCCCCGCCCTCTTTCCTCGCGGAGGCCGCATCGGTGTTCAAGGGTATCTCCAAGCGCGTGCTCATGGCAGCATGTGTTGAGGAGCTAGAGGAAGAACGAACTCTACATTCTTGCCCTTCCTCCTGTTCACTCTCCTCCCCAGCGTATGCCCACCTCCCTTCTACCTCCCTTGGCCCTCAACAACAGGAGGCTTCAGAAGAGGGGATGATGTGGATAGTCATCGCCAACCGTCCGCTCTCGCCCCCATCTTTCCTTGCGGGGGCCACATCAGTGTTCAAGGGCATCCCTAAGCACGTGCTCATGGCGGCATTCAACGTGGAGAAAGAGCTTGAGGATAAGTTTTACAAGGCCCGCCGCGACCCGTCCGAGATTGCCATCTTTCCGCCCTCTGGGAAGACCACTGCCACTGCATAGAGTGCCCAAGCGCGTGCACATGGGGTTTTCAAGTAACCCATCAGAAATTGCAATTTTCCCGCCGGTTGAGAAGAGTGCTGCTTAGGGTGTATGAGCTTCACTGCCACCGTCTAGTTTGGATGATAGGTGGAAGGGGGTGCTTTGATGCTGAAGCATGAAGACATTTGTGTGTAGTTTGTAACTGTTTATAAATGAATTAAGCTTTCATGAATTCATTTGTAGTGAGCGAATCCTGTTTGCGTCAAGATAGCTTATATAGCGTATGAGTTTCGATCACTCCCTCGAAGTCTTCCGCCTGTCCGCCTCCATTCACATCAAACCAGCATTCCCCCAAATGACTTGCGCCGCCCCTATGAGGGCTTGCACGCTCTTCTCCCGCCTCCACCCGCGACCCGCCACGTGTCTATCTGCCGTTCGTCGCCACGTGAGCAGCGCGCCAATGGGGTTTGTCCCCGCCACGTGTGAATCAAAAGGCAAGCCGCTGCCTGCGTTCTCTTTTTCGTAGCCGATTCTCTGACGGTGGTTTATCTGACGGCCACTTCTCTGACGGCCGTTGTTTGACTGGTAGATTGGCAGAATAGCCGGCGATCGCAATCAGCAGCAGGCAGCCCTCTCCGCGCGTTGATAATATGATCGGTCAATGAGGGAGACAACTGCGCATCCCTCCGCCTCTCCGCCGTCCGCCGTCCGCCCTCCGCCGCATTTTCCCGATCACCCTCTTCCCCCACTCTACCAACTCCTTTCCCTTTTCTAATCCCCCCTTTCCGCCTCTTTCCGCTCCTTTTCACCCCTCTCCGCCACTTTCCTCGCCGAGTCACCTTCCTCTTCCTTGTCCCCTTCCCCCTCACACCCCTTCTTCCCCGCTTCCGCTCCCGCGTTCCCTTCCCCTTTTTCCCTCCCCTCCCCAGTGCAGTTTGTGAAACTGCGCGGGCAGGGGCTGGCGCATCATTTATAAGGCGCTTCCCGCTCAAAACCTCCCCTCCGCCCCTCCGCGCTTTCCCCTTTCAACCTTCCCCCTCCCACCCCCCTGCAGTGCAATTCGTGGAGCTGCAGGGGCAGGGGCTGGCGCAACTGGTTGAGTCGCTCTTCTCCCTTCCGCCCTCCACCATTCCCCCGTCCCGCTTGAACCTTTCCCCATCCCCTTTCCCCCCCTCTCCCCCCCTGCAGCGCAGTTCGTGGAGCTGCAGGGGCGGGCTGGCGGGGAGAGTTGAGGCACTCCCCGTTCACAACCCAAACAGTCCCCCCACCTCCGCCCGTCCCCCTTCCCCTCCCCCCCACAGTGCAGTTCGTGGAGCTGCAGGGGCAGGGGCTGGCGGAGCGCAAGGCCGCCATCCATGATGTGCGTTGGGGGGGGGTTTAAAGGGGGAAGAGTGGGGGGGGGGGAGGGGGAAGAGACAGAGGGCAAGAAGCTGCAGGGGCAGGGCCTGGCGGAACACAAAGCCGCCATCCATGATGTGCGCTGGGGGGGGGGAATGGGGAAAATAGATGTCAGGGTGGAGGAGGGGGGACGAGACATAGGAAGACGGGGAAGGAAGATAGAGAGGGGCGAGCGGATGGGGGCATAGAGGGAATGGGGAAAGGGAGGGGAATATTGAGTACTGCGAGATGCCGTGATTGTTGTTTGCACTAGAAAGCAAAGGGAATCTGCAGCCTTCAGCCCCCTCTCTCTCCCTCCTCGCCCATTTCCCTAACTCACCTCCTTCACCCGCCATTCCCTTCGCCCCTGCTTTTCCCCTTCCCCACACACCTCCCCCACCCCCCCCCCCCAAACTACAAGTGGTGCCTCTGGAGGGACCTTCACGCTACATCCGACCACGTCATTCCGCCTTCCCCTTCCCCTCACTCCGCCTTCTCCCCACTCCGCCTTCCCCCACTCCGCCTTCCCCCACTCCGCCTTCCCCCACTCCGCCTTCCCCAACTCCGCCTTCCCCACTCCGTCTTCCCCCACTCCGCCTTCCCCCACTCCCCCTCCCCCATCCCCCCCACCAGCTACGAGTGGTGCCTCTGGAGGGGCCTTCACGCTACATCCGACCACGGAGCATTCGATACAAGCAGCATGGCAAGGTGCGATGAGCATTCGATACAAGCAGCATGGCAAGGTGCGATGAGCATTCGATACAAGCAGCATGGCAAGGTGCGATGAGCATTCGATACAAGCAGCATGGCAAGGTGCGATGAGCATTCGATACAAGCAGCATGGCAAGGTGCCCTGGGCGCACATATAACATCACTTAAAGCCCATTGACTTTTAGTCCACCAGCAAACATTCTCAGCCCATTAGCAATCACTGATACCATAATAGCAGTGGCAATCCACGGAGCAAGCAGCAATGCATCCCAAATGCAGTTATTTCCCCCTCTTTGATTGACAAGCGAAGCACAGCAGTGCTTGTGAGCGATTTCTGAGAAATATCAAAAGCCGCTCATGAGGCGCCTCAAAAGTAGACTCCCAGCACAGAGGTGACTTTTGAGTCTAGACTCAAAACTCAAAAGTAGACTCCCAGCACAGAGGTGACTTTTGAGTCTAGACTCAAAACTCAAAAGTAGACTCCCAGCACAGCAGCGCTGCTCAAGATGTTGGGAGGTTGAGGTTCAGATTCTTCCCCCACTGCCCTTCCTTCCCCCCGTGTTGGTTGCATCAGGACCGTCGATGGGACATGGTGCAATCGCATCCGTCCGTTGCAGTGCTGCTCTTTCACACAGAGCTGCAGCTGCTGCTCATGGTACGCGCTGCTATGAAATGACTCACGCATGCCGCACCGTACAGTGCGTCTATTCTGCTACTGTGCACCTGTCTGCTACTGTGCACCTGTCTGCTACTGTGCACCTGTCTGCTACTGTGCACCTGTCTTCTGCTCTGGACGCTCCTCCACGTGAATTCAATCACGGGCAGAATACAAGCTGCTCCTCATGGTACGCGTTGCTATGAATGAGGCATGCCACACGCCCAGTTTGTGAGCTGTAGGCGTAATTAATCCACCAAATGCCACACCGAGAGCAATCACTAACATGCCGTGAAGTGCCCAAGCCAAGCTGCTCCTCATTGCACGCGCTGCTCTGACTTAGGCGCGCCACACCGTTCATGTATTCTCCCCTCTTAATCCTAGTCGCTCCTCCCTCTTTAAACTCGGAGGTAACTAAGTTGTATCAGAGCCATTATTTTCCACCCGAAACCCTTCTGCCAGGTGCGGCAGTTCCGCCCCACAGTGCTCGCAGCAGCAGCAGCAGCAGAGGTGGAGGTAGAGGGGAGCGAGGAGGGGCTGAAGCTGAAGCTTGAGTTCTCTCTTTTGAGACGGAGTTGATTCAAAACCACCTCTCTCTCTTTTGAGACGGAGTTGATTCAAAACCACCTCTCTCTCTTTTGAGACGGAGTTGATTCAAAACCACCTCTCTCTCTTTTGAGACGGAGTTGATTCAAAACCACCTCTCTCTCTCTCACCAATCCCCTCCACCCCAAACCCTTCTGCCAGGTGCGGCAGTCTCGCCCCACAGTGCTCGCTGCAGCAGCAGCAGCGGCAGCAGAGGCAGAGGTAGAGGAGGGAGAGGAGGGTGTGAAGCTCACGGGGGACCTTGAGACTGCCTTCATTTATAAGCTGCCTCCACCCCATGCCACCCCATTCCACCCCACTCCACCCCACTCCACCCCCACCCTAACAACCCTCACGCAGGTGAGGCAGTTCCGCCCCACAGTGCTCGCTGCAGCAGCAGCAGCGGCAGCAGAGGCGGAGGCAGAGGGGGGAGAGGAGGGCGTGGAGCTCACAGGGGACCTTGAGACTGCCTTTACCTACGAGCTGTGTGCAGGTAAGAGTGGTGCAGGTAGAGGGGAGTGGGGAGGGTGTGAAGCTCACGGGGGACGAGACTGCCTTCACATACGAGCTGTGTGCGGGTGAGAGATGTGTGCGGGTGAGAGATGTGTGCGGGTGAGAGATGTGTGCGGGTGAGAGATGTGTGAGAGTGGGTGAGAGCGGTGAGGGTGGGTGAGAGTGGGTGAGAGTGGATAGAGCAGGTGAGGTCAACACATGTGGAGCAGCAAACCTGTGGGCTTATGATATGTGTTCATTGTGCTGCCGGCATTCCTAGTGCTCTCCCCTCCACTCACTGCCATCACTTGCTGCTCTCTCCTCTCCCCGCTGCTCCCCCCCTTTCCCCCCGCTGTGCAGGCCTGGTGGACAAGGCAGGGAAGGACCTCAGGCAGATCGCCAAGGTGAGGAGAAAGAGGTGGGGGAAGGGGGGGGTGGGAAGGGGGGCGGGGGAAGGGGGGCGGGGGAAGGGGGTGGGAGAATGTGCTAGCTCGGGGCTGGGAAGCGGAGGGAAGGGGTGATGGGGTGTGACATTACAACAAATCTGGTGACTCGTTACACCGTACCAGGTTGCACCGCACTGCACTCCACCCCACTCTACCCCAATCCACCCCACTCCATCCACTCCACCCACCCCACTTCACCGCACTCCACCCCACCCCACCAGGAGGAGGTATTGGAGGAGACGAGATACCACGTGCCGGTGGAGGCACTGCCACTGGTGACTCTTTACACCACACCCCGTTGCACCGCACTCCACCCCGCTCCACCCCACTTCATCCCAATCCATCCCACTCCACCCCACTTCACCGCACTCCACCCCACGCCCACCAGGAGGAGGTATTAGAGGAGACGGGATACGACGTGCCTCTGGAGTCACTGCAGCTGGTGACGGCTGCTCTCACGTCTGTGGGCATATCTGGAGCCAGGCAAACCATGTTCTATGCAGAGGTGAGCTGCTAAATGCTTGGCTTGAAGCCCACGTCATGATCGTTGAGCCACTGGAGGTACTGCAGCTGGTGACGGCTGCCCTCATGAGTGTGGGCATTTCGGCCGCTCGACAGACCATGTTCTATGCAGAGGTGAGCTCTTTAAAGGCTTGATAGTTATACATTGAACTACAGAGGCCCTGCAGCTGGTGACGGCTGCCCTCACAAGTGTGGGCATCTCGGGGGCTCGGCAAACCTTGTTTTACACTGAGGTGATTTGCTCAAAGCCTGGTTTTAAGCCCGGTATCAATTACCGTTTGAAGTCCCAGGTCAACCTAAACCCTTAAAGCTGTCGCCTACATACCGCCTGCGGGAGGACCTGGTTTATCACTTGAAAACCAGGTAGCACAGGGCTTCGCTCCATCCTTGGGTGGCGAGGTGCAGTTACTGCTTTCTGACAACCCAACCCCCCCTCTGAAAGTTGGCCTTCTCAGGATTGGCTTACAAATTTCGCGCCAATCTACCCCCCAACCTCGATTGGTTGCAGGTTGTGGCGAAATCGCCACCACAACCCCAACCTCACGAAAAAAGTATCCCCCCAACCAAACCTTGCACGAAAGTGGCGGGATTCGCCAGTTGTGTTTGAATCCTTCGCGCTCTCATTTCTGGGGCGGGATCATTTCGTGTGCAAATCGGACTGCGTCTTAGGGTGTGCACCCGAAATACCCCCAGAAAATACCCTTTGGTATGTAGACTGCAGCTTTAAGGTAGCTGGTCACAGCGGCTCCCACGTTCGTGGGGATCTTGGGGGCTCAACAGACCATGTTCTACACCAAGGTAAGCTGTTTAGAACCTTCAGTGCAGCTCTCACGTTCATTGGCATATCAGGCCTGGCAGGCTGGCACTGGTAGACATTGTTTAACGCTGAGTCAAGCTCTCTGGTCAACCCACAGTGATCCAAATGGGCCCACGTGGATTCCCATGTATCCCCATTACTGTTCGCTCAACATATTGACCCTAGCTGGGTAGATTACTGTTGTAGGCCTACCTGGATTGTACTGATGTTCTTGGTGGCAATGTGCCTGCGTGGCCTAATGGATAAGGCATCTGACTTCTAATCAGGTGATTGTGGGTTCGAGTCCCACCGTGGGTGAACAACCGTTTCACCTTTTTCTTCTCTGTTCTCCCCTTCTTCCCGCCTGCGCCCTCTCCGTTTCTCGCTCCTATGCATGCATTGATGCTTGGCGTTGATGCCTCTGCATTCATGCCTCTGTACTTATGCCTCTGCATTCATGCCTCTGTACTTATGCCTCTGCATTCATGCCTCTGTACTTATGCCTCTGCATTCATGCCTCTGTACTTATGCCTCTGCATTCATGCCTCTGTACTTATGCCTCTGCATTCATGCCTCTGTACTTATGCCTCTGCATTCATGCCTCTGTACTTATGCCTCTGCATTCATGCCTCTGTACTTATGCCTCTGCATTCATGCCTCTGTACTTATGCCTCTGCATTCATGCCTCTGTACTTATGCCTCTGCATTCATGCCTCTGTACTTATGCCTCTGCATTCATGCCTCTGTACTTATGCCTCTGCATTCATGCCTCTGTACTTATGCCTCTGCATTCATGCCTCTGTACTTATGCCTCTGCATTCATGCCTCTGTACTTATGCCTCTGCATTCATGCCTCTGTACTTATGCCTCTGCATTCATGCCTCTGTACTTATGCCTCTGCATTCATGCCTCTGTACTCATGCCTCTGCATTCATGCCTCTGTACTTATGCCTCTGCTCTGTGTGCCATGTGGCACGTGTTGTATCCTGCCTGCTGTGGATGGCAGGTGAACGAGGCGCAGAGAACTCACGCTGGGGGAGGCAAGGAGGAGGAGGGCGAGGTGAGGTCGTTCAGTGGGGAAAGCGAATATCATAGGGGGGTGCGAGAGGAGAAACAGAGTTACGAAGGTTTGCAGATAAGTGGGAGGTGATGTGAGGGCGGATGGGTGTGGGGAGGAAGAGACAGAGTGAGGAGGGAGAGGAGTGTCCGATGGTGGACATGCTAGGCGTTGATTGGGGCAAGGCTGTTACTCCGGGGCTGTTATGGCGGGGCTGTTATGGTGGGGTGAGTTGTGAGAGTGGTGGTAGACTGAACTCAGTCAAAGTGGAGTGAGGGTGGATTGGGGGTACAGGTAGGCTGCAAGGTCTTTGTGCCTGCAAGGTCTTTGTGCCTGCAAGGTCTTTGTGCCTGCAAGGTCTTTGTGCCTGCAAGGTCTTTGTGCCTGCAAGGTCTTTGTGCCTGCAAGGTCTTTGTGCCTGCAAGGTCTTTGTGCCTGCAAGGTCTTTGTGCCTGCAAGCCTGCTACACCCCTACCAACTTCCCTGTCCCCCCTCTTCCCCCTTCTCCAACTTCCCACCCTCACCCTCCCCCACAACACTCCCCCCGACCCTTTCCCCACCTGTCCCACTCAACCCCCCCAGGCCATAGATGTGGGGGGGGTACCTGTCACCCAGTTCCTCCCCCTCCCAACTCCCGCCTCTCCCCTGTTGCTCCCCTTTCGCACCTTCCCCACGTCCTCCCCTCCCCCTCCCCCCAGGCCATAGACGTGGTGGGGCTGCCCCTGGCCCACCTGGACGCCTTCATTGCTAACTCTGCCTCCCAGGTTGCTCCCCCCCATGCCGCACTCCACCTTTTCCGCACTTTACCCCCCTCTTCTCCCCCAGGCTATAGACGTGGTGGGTTTACCGCTGGCCCAGCTGGACGCCTTCATTGCTGACGTGGACCTCCCCAAGAGCCCTGGTGGGCTCTTTGGGGTCGCGTGGTTCAAAGCTACAGTGCTGCCCACTTTACAAGGCTGAAGCTAATGACACATGCTGCTGTCATGTGCACGTATGATGGCCAGTTATGGTGCACCTAGTGTGGAGTCAAGCCGGAAGGCTCTTTGAGGTCGTGTGGTTCAAAGCTACAGTAATGCCCACCTTACAAGGCTCAGGCTGATGACACATGCTGCTGCTGTTACGTTATATCCAATATCGTGTTGTGACGGCCAATTCCATCTGATGTGGAGTTGTTATAACAAGTTGGGAGGGCTCTTCGGAATCACGTGGTTCGATGCTACAGTGCTGCCTGCCCAAGCTGACTTCACATGCTTCCATGGTATGCAAACATATCTTGTGATGGTAGCTACACCTGATGTGGAATCATTGTAGCATGGCATTTGCAGATGTATTTAGAAAGCTTGCTTTCTTGTGTTTGCAATGGCAACGAGCTTCGTTTCAAAGGCAACTAGCTTCGTTTCAAAGTCAACGAGCTTCGTTTCAAAGGCAACGAGCTTCGTTTCAAAGGCAACGAGCTTCGTTCAAAGGCAACGAGCTTCGGTTCAAAGGCAACGAGCTTCGTTTCAAAGGCAACGAGCTTCGTTTCAAATGGGCATTACAACATTCTCGTCCTACTTATATATGGTACCTACATTACAAGTTACAACATGCAATTTTTTGCTAGGGTGGGTGGGTGGGAAATAAGACATTTGAAAATTCAAACGAAGACATAGGTGGAGGCCTATAGTTGGCGAAGAGTGTAGAGCACTTCGCCGTTGCCATTGCTGATTATAAGCAGCTTCGCTTTCGAAATATACATTTTTAGAAAGTGTTGCACACTTTCAAAAAACTTCATATTTTGAAACCTTGCTTTCTTGTGTTTGCAATGGCAACGAGCTTCGTATCAAATGGGTCTTCTGAGACATGAGACGGGGTCATGCTGACGAGATGGTAAAGGTTCTTTGTGGCTTATGCGATGACATGTCGGTGGAGGTCCAATCACGCACAAAGGAGAGGCTGGCACCGATGTTGATGTTGATGGTGTATTCTCTGCTGTTGCCTTGGATGAAGTGTCGCCCCAAGTGAGTGTAGCACAGTAATGTTGATTTATGAGAGCTGGCTGACACGTGAGCTTCGGACACGAACTCCCAAGCAGTATAGGAGGACTCGGGCAGCGGGCGTTGGTGTTTTGTGTGATGATGAATGCGATGCTCGTAGGAGCCCAACCCTTGTAGCAGTCACAACCGTGCTCACATTACGAAGAGGGCATGCATCTGTATCCGGATACGGTTTATCTGCCGGCAATTGAGCCCTTTGAATGTGTGTGCGTTTTTTTTTTTTTTTTTTTTGATCTGCTAGACTTGTGCACCATTTCAAAATCACCACAACATTGTTCAATCAACCAACTCAAGTGTGACCGCATCAGGACCTTGCAGTTGAAGGCTTTCAAAGCCTAGGCTATTTGAGAAGTATAACTAAATTGCGCAACCAAGAATCTACCCTACAAATGGCCCACAGGCCAGAAAGGGACCCACCGGTCCTCCTCCCCCCTGGGGAGCTCGCTGGCCAGCACCGCACAGGACCCCCTGGTCCTCCTCTGTCAGAACATATAGCTTACTTATTTGTGTAGGCTATAGTGGGGTATCCCATAGGGGGTACAACCCAATTAGGGTTTCCTATTTGTACTCACTTCGTTCATACTCATTCCATTCTCGTTCTTTGTTTTCACATGGAATCAGAGCAGGTTCCCTCCTAGGGACTGCTTCTAGGGCCCACCGAACCGCGCCCCGAGGCGCGGTTTTTTTTTAGCGACCCGTCGTGTCGCCCCTAGCGGACCGTTGCGCCGCCCTTCCCCTCGCGGCTCCGCCGCCCTTCCCTAACGGCCTCGCCGCCCTTCGATCGCGGCCCCGCCGCCCTCGGCTACGCGGCCCCGCCGCCCTCTGCTACGCGGCCCCGCCGCCCTCTGCCTCGCGGCCCCGTCGCCCTCTGCTACGCGGCCCCGCCGCCCTCTGCTACGCGGCCCCGCCGCCCTTTGCCACGCGGCCCCGCCGCCCTCTGCTACGCGGCCCCGCCGCCCTCTGCTACGCGGCCCCGCCGCCCTTCGATCGCGGCCCCGCCGCCCTCTGCTACGCGGCCCCGCCGCCCTCTGCTACGCGGCCCCGCCGCCCCCTGCTACGCGGCCCCGCCGCTCTTTTCGGTCGCGGCCCCGCCGCCACTCTGCTACGCGGCCCCGCCGATCCGCCCAGCAGCAGCCGCCGCCGCCTGAGCCGCCGCCGAGCCGCCGCCGAGCCGCCGCCGAGCCGCCGCCGAGCCGCCGCAGAGCCGCCGCCGAGCCGCCGCCCGAGCCGCCGCCGAGCCGCCCGTGACGCCCGAGCCGCCCGCGCCGCCCAGCAGCCGCCGAGCCGCCGCCGAGCCGCCGCCGCCTGAGCCGCCGCCGAGCCGCCGCCGAGCCGCCGCCGAGCCGCCGCCGATCCGCCGCCCGAGCCGCCGCCGAGCCGCCTGTGCCGCCCGAGCCGCCCGCGCCGCCTGAGCCGCCTGCGGAGCCGTACTGCTGCTGACCTACCCGCCTCTCCCAGCCAGGTGAGATTTTCAGCTGCTGTCATGGCCACCCCCAATGTTCTTACCTTTGACACTGAAGGGAGGGCCGTTGACTTTGCCGTCTGGATTGAAGACCTGCAGCTGTACTTACTGTGTGATGCGATAGATGAGGTCTCTCTCTTTGACTTTGTCTCTGGCGCTGTCCCTGCCCCACCTGCTGATGCTGACTCTGCCGTTCGCTCCAAGTGGGCGACCCGCGATGCTGCTGCACGTCTTGCTGTGCGTCGCCACCTCCCTTCCTCTGAGCGTGCCCACTTTAGTCAGTGCAAGACCGCTCAGGCCTTGTACGACGCTGTAGTTGCACGCTACTCCTCCCCTTCCTCCGCTACCCTTAGCCGCCTCATGCTACCGTTTCTCTTCCCTGACCTCGCTTCCTTTCCCACTGTCGCTGACCTCGTTACCCACCTCCGTGCTAGTGACACCCGCTACCGCGCTGCCCTTCCTGCTGAGTTCCGCGCTGCGAACCCTCCTCCCATGTACATCACTCTCTACTTTCTCGTCACCCGTCTCCCTGAGTCCCTTCGTGTCGTTAGGGACCAGTTTCTCTCTGTCTGTCCCACCACTCTCACTGTCGACCTCCTTGAGGAGTCCCTACTAGCGGCTGAGAAGAGTATTGTCGCTGTAGGGGCCTCTCGGGGTGACCCTCGCACCCCCATCTTTGAGGGGTGTGGTCCTTCCCCCCTGCTGCCCTCTGTCGCCTCTGCCGCTGCGGCCGACCTCACTGGTTTTGAGTCGGTCGGCGCGGCGTCTGCCCCCAGCGGCAGGCGCCGCGCTGGCAAGGGCAAGGGGGGCAAGGGAGCGGGTGGAGCTAGAGGGGGCTGTGGAGGAGGCGGTGGGGGTGGCGGGGGGAGTGGGGGTGGCGGTGGGGGTGGTGGTGGGAGTGGAGGTACTGGTGGCGGCGGTGGAGGCGGAGGTGGCGGCGGAGGTGGTAGCGGAGGAGGCGGTGGGAGCGGTGGGAGCGACGGTCCTGGTGGGGGAGGTGGAGGTGGAGACGGGGGTGGCGGTGGAGGCGGGGGTGGCAGTGGAGGCGGGGGTCGGAGTGGCTCGTCCCAGCGGAGCAGCTCCGGGGGTGGTCAGCGCCAGCAGCAGCAGCAGCAGCAGCCGCAGCAGCAGCCACAGCAGCAGCAGCGCTCTCGCACCGTCTCCGCCCCTCAGCAGCTCCGTGAGTGGTACTCGCAGCGTCAGCGTGGTGGTGCGCTTGGTCCTTGCCCCTACGTTCTCCGCACCGGTGACCGTGCAGGGGAGAGGTGTGGAGGCGCCCACACTGCCCGCCGCTGCTTTGGCCGCCTGACTGACGCCTGGCCTCAGCAGTTTCCGGAGGCAGCTGAGATCCCCCGCTGGGGAGAGCTGTCTAGGGCTGGTGTAGCTATTTATGATCTTGATTTTGATGCTATTCTCTCTGCTATGTATGCTGCGATTGGTAGTGATGAGGATGACTGTTACCGGTGTTTCCCGCCCGACCCGGGCATTGGTACTGCCGCGTCAGGTACTAGTGAGGCTGCTGCTCTAGGTGCCAGTGCGTCTGTGCTCTCAGGTGCTGGTGAGTCTGCCCTCTCAGGTACTGTGTCGGCTTCGGCCTCTCACACCTTCACCCTTGACTCTGGAGCGTCTCGCTCCTTCTTTAGGGACCGCACCACTCTCACGCCGCTGAGTCGGCCGGTTGCAGTGTCCCTGGCTGACCCCTCTGGGGGGCCTGTCCTGTCTCGCTTCTCCACAGTCCTCCCGTGTCCGGCGGCCCCCTCTGGCACCCTGACTGGTCTCTACCTCCCCTCGTTCTCGACGAACTTGGTGAGTGGTGCTGACCTCCAGGATGCGGGTGTCCACCAGTTCACCCCTGCTCGTCAGCGGGTGACCCACTGCACGGAGGAGGATACAGGTCGCCACCTGGCTACGTTTACACGTCGGCCAGGGTCGAGCCTGTACACACTGACCACTGCTTCTCCTCCAGGTGCTGAGTCTGGTAGGGTCCCTTCGTCTGGTCAGGTGTTTGCTGCAGCGTCCAGGTCTGGTCCTTAGTCTGCCCCCTGCTCGTGTCGTCGTCTGTCTCACGAGACCCTCCTCTGGCACCACCGCCTTGGCCACCCCTCTCTGCTTCGGCTCAGAGGCATGGCCTCGCGAGTCCTTGTGTCTGGTCTTCCCCGGTCTCTCCCTCCCCTTCCTCCGGGCCCTGGCCCCACCTGTGTCCCCTGTGTCGAGGGGCGCCAGCGTGCTGCCCCTCACTCCTCCCAGTTTCCTCCCACAGAGGCCCCGTTGCAGACGCTTCACATGGACGTGTGGGGCCCAGCCCGCGTCCGTGGACAGGGTCAGGAGCGCTACTTCCTGCTGGTGGTTGACGACTACTCGCGTTACACCACAGTCTTCCCCTTGCGCAGCAAGGGTGAGGTCACTGAGGTGCTGATCGACTGGATCCGCGCAGCTCGTCTCCAGCTTCGGAGGAGCTTTGG